TGCGTAACGGCCCAATCTCCAGATTTCCACGGGCTGGAGTCTTATGGAGATATCCAATTTTGTTCTTAATGTTCGAGCGAATGCCCTCTATATTTGTATCGTTCCGATGAGAAATTCGAAGCGCAATATACACAGTTAGGCTAGTTATTAGTGCATAAGAATTCCGTGAACCAAAACACTCACCTCATAGAGGTCTAAATCAGACACTTTGGCCGAGTGGTTAAGGCGGCGGCCTGCTAAGCCGTGGGCTATGCCCGCGGGAGTTCGAATCTCCCAGGTGTCGTATTTTGCACACCACAGTAACACTTGAAGTCACGGTAACACAGGAATTGGAAGATATGGATCTCATTACACCACATCGAGCTAATAAACAAGCAAATAATGATTATGGCAACGGTAAATCACTACGAGTTGATGGACAGATAATCTGTGTTTTGAGGTTGTACAAACTTGAACGATATCCTCTTAAGCTAACATGTATCGTAGCTACTGTAACCAATTCGTGGTATCGATGATGGAGTTTTACTTCATACACAGACCCTTTCTAGATTGTGCCTACTGTCTCATCTGATCCCCCTGTACCCACAGACGTCGTTCGCAACTCAATAAACACAACAATCCTGACATGTTCACGTTGGCTAAGCATTGACAGGTCGAATCTTCTGGTAATACACTGCAAGGCAGGACCGGACGTACTTCTCGAATGCCTAACACAATAATGCAGCAATGCGGTATCCAACCATTCCTCCCCCAAGTATCCTACTTTAACAGCAGCTACCGCCGTTGGAGCCAGTGCATCGGCCTCCACTTCCTTCTCGGCCGCTGCCCCGACGGCGACATCTCTCACCAGCATCACCACATCCTGCGAATGGATGTCGATGACGAAGGTATCAGTAAAGACAGAGGACTGAGGCAAACGATGGATGATGAATTTGGGTGTACGCCGCTTCTACCTCCTCCTCGGACTGATCTGGATCCACCAGGATCTGCGTCCCACCGCGGTGATAACGTTTACCCAATGCGGCAGCGAAAGCTGTACCTGCTCAAGATCAATGAGGCCCCATCGCACCAGGTGATCGAAAAATACCTCTGAGAGGAATCGAACCCGCGTCCAAGAGGGCAAGGATCGCCGCGTTAAAGATAGTCGACAGAAGCGATCCATCGTTGTTCATCACTTCCACCTGAGACCCGCAGTCCTCTGAGCCCATCGACAGGGCCTCTTACCGCTACAGTGACCATGGTATTGCCGGGTAGGAGATGTGTATCGATGATAGTGTTAATGAACTTAGTGAGTTGGTACTCAACACTCTTATCCTCAGCAGTTGGCATACCAGAAGCTCTTCGCACGGTCACATCCAGCGGGTACCCAGGTGTGCTCACTCCCAACGGGAATCTGACCAATTCCCCTACACCATTGCTGCTTGGATACCCCCCGACTATACCTATTTTCCACTGGCCCGTTGACGCCCACCAGAACCTCAGTGTCACCAAAGCCCAGGCGTGCACTGCCGTCCTTCTGAGGCAACAGTCCAAGCTCCAGCGTAGGAGGGCGCATCATTGAACCTATACAGCGACTTGGTAGAAACCCCGGAAGGGTGATCGACTCACATTCCCTCCCATCTATCCGTGCCTGATGATAGATGAACTCTGGCGCTGCTACCTCGGCCTTGTTCGGGTTGACCTCTTCCACTGCAGAGGACATGACGACAGAGGAAGGAACTCCCAAGGGCATGCACCGACGAGCACTCCGGAACTCAACAAGGCCAGGGGCACACAGAAACTCGGTTGAAGCTACTACTGCGAAGCTTTTAAACTGCATCATGACCGCGCGCCATGAA